CCAGTGCTATTATAAATTTAGATTACAAGGATATTAACGAGTTCCTTGATGATGCCTACGCTTTATTTAAATTAAATATTGAAAAAGCATTAAACAAGTATGGTCCTTTAAAAGTGTATACTGTGTTGGGTGCGAAATTTAAAAAAGATTTAATTAATGGTAAAGAAGAACAATCCGACTTAAAAACTTTTATCGCGAAAACGGATGAAATTTTATTAACAACCCCGTTAGATGACTGGTACAATGTTAATGTTAAACAAATAACTTTGAAAAGAATCGAAGAATTCCAGGAGAAGGACTCTAACTGGAAACTTGATTCAATTCATAGGTTAGAGGTTAACATTAACAAATTTAACCCTATGCGCGCAAGTTCCTACATTAATTTACCATCTTCTATTAATAAAAAACATGCTTGTGTTAATATTAAAAATAGTGATAACCAGTGCTTTAAATGGGCAATTTTATCTGCTTTACATCCAGTTGAAAAGAACGCGGAACGAGTTTCAAAGTATAAGTCTTATGAAGGTGAACTTAATTTTTTAGGAATTGAGATTCCTGTTGCCCTTAAAGATATTTCAAAATTTGAGTCTCAAAACGTTAATATTTCAGTTAATGTCTATGGTTTGTCGAAAAAGAAAGAAAATTTTAGTGTCTATCCTCTACATCTTACATCACAAAAGAGAATAAATCATATTAATCTTTTACGCATAGAAGATCATTACATTGATGAAAGTCTTAGCGCAGAAGAGGAAGATGATTTACCAATCATATCTTTTAACTACCACTATGTCTGGATAAAAGATCTATCCAGATTGGTTGGATCACAGCTGTCGAAGAAGAAAAATAAAAAGTTTATTTGTGATCGTTGTCTCCATTATTTTAGAGACAAATTGCAGCTTACAGAACACGAGGAAACATGCAAAAAATTAAATGATACAAGGATCAGATTACCGCAACCAGGTAAAAATACTGTTGAGTTTAAGAATTATCAAAATAAGGAGCGCGTGCCTTTTATCATTTATGCTGATTGTGAGAGTCTTTTGATTCCTGCGGAAGCACCACAAGAAGCATGCAATACTGAGGTTTTGCAAAATCATAAAACGCTCAGTATTGGATATTATTTAAAGTGTGGCTTTGATGACTCATTGTCCACATATAAAGCATCCCCAAAAGATGAAGAAGATCCTGCTAAATGGTTTTCAAAAGAGTTAAAAAATTTAGCAGATAAAGCAGAGCTCATTTTAAAGAATTTTAAACCCATGCAAGCATTAACCTCACAAGAATTAGTTGATTTTAAAAATGCTAATACTTGTCATATTTGTCAAAAGAAAATCGCGCAAGGTGAAGTAAAAGTAAGAGACCACAACCATCTAACAGGGAAGTACCGAGGTGCTCCGCATCAAAATTGCAATGTTAATTACCATGAATCACCGACCATACCTGTTGTTTTTCATAACCTTAGCGGTTATGACGCTCATTTTATTATTAAAGCTATTGCTACTGAGTTTGAAGGTAGAGTTGATCTACTTCCTATAAACAAAGAAAAGTATATCAGATTTACAAAAAATATTAAAAATAGTTTAATCAAATTTCGATTCATTGATTCCTTTAAATTCATGGCATCATCATTGGACAAGTTAGCGTCCTATCTCAACGAATATAAAATTGTTAATTCGGTTTTTTCCAATTACAGCCACGACAAAATTCAATTGTTAACGCGAAAAGGAGTTTTTCCCTATGAATACATTGACTCGAGGGAAAAGCTCGATGAAACTCAATTACCGTCAAAAGAAAATTTTTATAGCACTTTGAATGATTCTAATATTTCAGATAATGATTATGTACATGCGCAAAATGTGTGGAGTGAATTCAACTGTCAAAATCTTGGTGATTATGTGTATTTGTACATGCAAACCGATGTATTGTTACTCGCGGATATTTTTGAAAATTTCAGGGATCAGTGTTTACTCGCGTACGGTCTTGATCCTGCGCATTATTATACAACGCCAGGACTGACATGGGATTCCATGTTAAAGTATACGAATATAAGATTGGAACTCCTCACAGACATCGACATGGTAATGTTTATTGAACGCGGAATAAGAGGTGGAGTAAGTCAATGCACCAATCGATACGCGAAAGCTAATAATCCGTACATGGAGAAATATGATGCAAGTGAGGAGACATCTTATATCGTATACTTTGACGCAAACAACCTATATGGTTGGGCCATGATTCAGTCGCTTCCCTTTGGTGGCTTCGAGTGGGTAGAAAATGTTGACAATAATTTTGATTTTAATGTTGCAGATGATGCACCAATTGGTTACATTTTAGAAGTTGACTTAGATTACCCCGAGGAATTACATGATAAACATAGTGACTTTCCGTTTTGCCCTGAACGCTCGAAGCCACCAGGGTCCAAAGAGGAGAAGCTCCTAACTACCCTTCTACCGAAGAGAAAGCACGTTCTCCATTACCGAGCATTGAAACAAGCTATTACCAACGGCCTTATTTTAATTAAAATTCATCGCGTTTTAAAATTTAATCAATCCACATGGTTAAAAAGCTACATTGATTTCAATACTATGCGAAGAACTAATGCCAAGAATGAATTCGAGAAAAACTTATTTAAACTAATGAACAATGCGGTATTCGGAAAAACAATGGAGAACGTGCGAAAACATGTAGACATTAATCTTGTGACAAAGTGGGAGGGTAGATATGGAGCTGAAGCCTTAATCTCAAAACCTAATTTCCACAGCAGGGCCATTTTCAATGAAAATTTGGTTGCTGTGGAACTTAGAAAAGTAGAAGTTCTAATGAACAAGCCACTATATGTTGGCTTAACCGTTTTAGACGTTTCAAAAACTTTAATCTACGATTTTCACTATGATTATATTTTAAAAAAGTATGACAAAACAAACTGTAAGTTATTGTATACCGACACCGACAGTCTGATTTATGAAATTAAATGTTGTGACATCTTTGCAGACATGAAAGCAGATATCCACAAATACGACACTTCCGATTACCCTGTAAATAACGTTTACGGTATTCCGCAAGCCAACAAAAAAATTTTAGGTTTAATGAAAGATGAGTGCAGTGGAAAAATTGTTACTGAATTTGTTGGCTTGCGGAGCAAAATGTACAGTGTGCGAGTGGAAGATCAAGATTTTATTAAAAAAGCAAAAGGTGTGAAATCAGCGGTTGTAAAGAAAACTATTACCTTTGATGACTACACATATTGTTTACGAAATGTTAAAATGCAATCGCGAACTCAATATTGTATCAGATCGAAACTTCACAATGTTCAAACATTAAAACAAACAAAAATAGCTTTAAGTCCTTACGACGATAAAAGATTTCTGTTATCCAATAGTACCGATACCCTTGCATGGGGACATTGTAAAATTACACAAATTAATGATGAAGCTATGGAATTGCAAATAAATGATGATTTGGAAATATAAAGGTGTTTTAATAAAAGATACTGTACATTTCATATTATGTTTATTTATTAGAACCTTAATCTAGTTACATTTTTAACTTTATTTTAACTATTTTTAACTTTATTTTAACTATTTTTAACTATTTTTAACTTTTTTAAACTATATTTAACTTTATTTTAACTATTTTTAACTTATCTTTAACTATTTTTAACTTATCTTTAACTATTTTTAACTTATTTTTAACTATTTTTAACTTTATTTTAACTATTTTTAACTTTTTAAAACTATTGGGATCTGACATGGGGGCGGGGCCTAAAGCAATATGGCGTAAATTGGGTAACACTTTTAGTGAATTTACATGGGAATAACAGGGGATGCAATAGAACAAAATCGTTTAAAAAATATTGCTTAATTTAATAAATGTATAAGTGAATTTTTTAAATACAAAATTACTATTTACATTCCTATTTACAAACATGAATAAAAATATAAAAGAAATCTTATTTTTATACAAATTATTTTCTCAAATCCAGCGATACATGTGCAAGAAAAGTATTGTATTTTCCTTTATATTTCATGAAATTATATGAAAATTTATAAATGTATGTATTTCATTTTTCATTGTAAAAGTCTGTTAACAAGAACTGAAAAAAAAATTTATTTATCCGTTTTTACAGTGATAAATTAACTTTCAAAATGTTCACATGCACGGGTAATATGAAAGATTATATAACCTCCAAATTTTAAAATCTTAAACTTACCTGGCAAAATGTAATCACTTCTTTTGAAATGCAGAGAACATACTCTCATAGAAGGCTTTATACTGTTTATTTTTAAAGCATTTTTCCAGGCCTTTAATTGATCGACTTTTTCAAAATTATCGAACGTATTTTCACATCCACTACTGGTTGTTTTGGTTTCGGAAATTTATGGAAAATTACGCTTAAATTTTTCGCTACAGTACTGCCACAGCCTCTCACAGAACACTTAATTCTGCAGGAAGATTTCTCACGCGGTAAAAATGTAGCTTCATTCATAATGATAAAATAATTAACAATGACAGCGGAACTACAATTGCAAGTGACACAAACAGTTATCCAAAACTAGTTACATTTTTCAACACCAGATGGTATGTGTACGAATGTCAGATCCCAATATTTAACTTTATTTTAACTATTTTTAACTTATCTTTAACTATTTTTAACTTATTTTTAACTATTTTTAACTTTATTTTAACTATTTTTAAATATTTTTAACTTTATTTTAACAATTTTTAACTTATCTTTAACTATTTTTAACTTTATTTTAACTTTTTTTAACTATATTTAACTTTATTTTAACTATTTTTAACTATTTTTAACTTATCTTTAACTATTTTTAACTTTTTTTAACTATGGGACGTTCCACGTCAACAAGGACAGGCTTCTGCCCAAAAATGGTTTTGACGGATTTCAATGTTCTAGGGCTTAAAAAATTCGTAAATTTCTATACTTTCGAATGCCGAGTGGCGTTTTTCAAAATTTTAAATGGCGGCTCCAATATGGCGCATAAATGGCAGTAAGTTTGAAAATTTAAAAATAAATTTGTGAATTAAACGTCTTAAAGAATTCCATTCAATCTACAACACCTCATACAACAGTTTTTGAGGTCGCTGAATGCAAATATGATGTTAGTTTTCCAAAATTCAAAATGTCGAATTCAAAATGGCGGTCAAAATTTTTAAAATCGATCAAAATGGCTTAAAACTTATTTCTCAGGGGTTTTTTGGGTCGCTTATTATGAATTTAAAGTAATTTTTATTAAATAAGCAAAAATAAAATAAATTCCAAAATGGCGAATCCAAAATGGCGGACAAATTTTTTTAAAAACGCTCGAAATTAATTGAAATTCTATTCTAGGGGGTTTTCATGGCCGCTGATTACGAATTTAATGTTATTTTTATTAAATAAGCAAAAATAAAATAAATTCGAAAATGGCTGATCCAAAATGGCGGACAAATTTTTTTTAAAACGCTCGAAAATGATTGAAACTATTTCCTAGGGGGTTTTCCTGGCCGCTGATTACGAATTTAAAGTTATTTTTAATAAATAAGCAAATATAAAATAAATTCCAAAATGGCGAATCCAAAATGGCGGACAAATTTTTTTAAAAACGCTCGAAATTAATTGAAATTCTATTCTAGGGGGTTTTCATGGCCGCTGATTACGAATTTAATGTTATTTTTATTAAATAAGCAAAAATAAAAGGAATTCCAAAATGGCGGATCCAAAATGGCGAACTGAAATGGCCACTGATTTAGAATTATGCAAACTGGTATTCCCGAAAAGGACTGATTGTAGTTTAAATTGAAGATTTTGGAATTATGCAAACTGGTAGTCCTGAAAAGAACTGATTGTAGTTTAAATTAACGATTTTGAAAATATGCAAACTGGTAGTCCTTGAAAGGACTAATTGTAGTTTAAATTAAAGATTTTGGAGTTATGCAAACTGGTAGTCCTGAAAAGGACTGATTGTAGTTTAAATTAACGATTTTGGAATTATGCAAACTGGTAGTCCTGAAAAGGACTGATTGTAGTTTAAATTAACGATTTTGGAATTATGCTAACTGGTAGTCCTGAAAAAGACTGATTGTAGTTTAAATTAAAGCCAAAATAATGTGAACGAGCTAGGATAGTTTTTACAGTGGTGGGGATACGCGGCGTGGTAGGACCCAGCAACGCGCTGATTGGTCCGCCCGAGTCACATGATTTCTAGAACATGTCCATATATGGTCATATAAGAAGCGACTAATTGTGGAATAAAACTGGATCAATAGGTTTGTTTTGTGACTGGCAATATTATTAAAAAAATTTAATTACCATTATTTTATTATTAATATGTGAAATCATTAAATTACAATTGAAGCCAGATCGACAAGCTCCGGTTCGATAAGACTGTTTCCTTCGGTTGCAAACTAGGAAAAGTAGAGAGCATAGTGAGGTTCTGCAGTGTCTGTCAGTAACGTATACCTAAAAGTATCTTTGTGCCCGATGTACTTCATATACATAACCGGAAAAATAAATTTGTATGTTTTTTGTTTATCAATAATTTATTATTAATTAATTTCATTATATTCTATTATTAATAATACTATTCGACAATTATTAATTTTTAAAAATTTCAAGTTCCAAAGAAAGATGTACATGTGTCACGTCACCGTAACATTTTTTATAAAAATAATAATAATTAATAATAATTAATAAATAAATATTTATATAAAATAAATTCTTTTATAAATAAATATATTTGTAAATAAATAATTGTTCTTTAATAAACAAATATTTGTAAACAAATATTTGTGGATAAACAATTGTTTGTAAATAAACAAATATATTTATAAATAAACAAATATATAATCATGTCACCGTCACATTTTTTATAATAAATAATAATTGTTGTTAATAATTAATTTTAATATAATAAATATTCTTGTAATATTAAATTATAAATGAGCGTTTATAAATAAACAAATATTTGTAAACAAATATTTGCAAATAACAAATGTATTTATAAACAAAAATAATTGTTATCAAAACTAAATGTATAGACAGAAATAATCAATGTAAATCAATATGTAAAATTATTATATTTCATAAAGGTGTGATGTTCTTAATATTTAAAATTAGAAAAGACGATCTAAAAAACCAGGAAATCTATTATGGAGTCACCACTACTAAAAGAAAAAGCAATAAAGATTTTTCGTGTCTGTGAGGTCCCGACATTGAATCTACCCATAGAGGCGAACTGGTCCCGCTGCGAGAAATACATTGGAAAATATTACTATATAATGGGAGACCTTTCACTAACAAGGCAGTCCCAAATTATACGTAAAAAGATCATAGTATCGAGTCCCAAAATATATATACAAGAAGTTCTTCATAACAAGTGTAAAATACAGTTTTAAAGTGTTGTCATCAGTTAAAAGGTTTCCAGTAATAAAATCTTTATTACCTCAATAGAAGATCAAAGTCAGGTGCCAAGAAACGAAGATTGGGAAACTCCGCCACCACAAATAAAAAGGTAGTTTTACCAAATCAAATTAAATAGATTTTATAAAATATTTGATTGTCAATTAAGAACATTTACACTTTTATTTAAATAAATAATTTTTATTTTTAAAGAAACATTCATTTAATAATCCTTTCCCCAACTTAGTTAATTTAACTAAGTTAAATTAAGGAGTTAGAACAGGGTATAATTATAAGTTTAGATTAGGCAAAATTAATAATTATTTAAAATATGACATAACAGAACTTATAATTTTTGGTGCATCGGCCTGGGTTAAATTATTAAATGAATGATCATTTTTCAAAATTTTTTTTGCAATATTAATTAAAAATATAAATAATTAAATAAATAATTTAATGAACAATTAATAAATAAACATTTAATAAAAATAAAATAAATAATAAAATAAATAAATTGATAACTAAATAAATAATTAATAACTAACAATTAATTAACAAATTTTTAAACAAATAATTATAAAATCAATAATTAATTAATAAATTTTAAACAATAAATAAATATTAAAAATAAAAAATTCTTTTAAATAAAATAAAAATTTTAAAACAAACATTTCAATTTACAAATAAATAAACAATATAAAAATAATTAAATAATTAATAAATAAACAATAAATAAATATTTAAAATAGATAATTCTCTTAAATAAAATATAATTTAAAAAAAAAAAAAAAAAAAAACATTTTAATTTACAAATAAATAAACAATATAAAAATAATTAATTAATTAATAAATTTTAAATAAACAATAAATAAATATTAAAAATTAATACAATAAAATTTATTTTTAAACAAAAATTTCAATTTATAAATAAATAAACAATATAAAAACAATTATATAAAATTTTTTTAAAATAAACAATAAATTAATATTAAAAATAAATAATTCTCTTAAATAAAATTTAAACACATTTTTTCTATAAATTTTTTTTTTTAACCAAAATATTGTTTAACAAGTCATAAACAAATAAATTTTCAAAATTTTTAAAATAAAAAAAATTGTTGCTTAAATTTTTTCAACAATATTAATAAATAATTAATTCTAAATAAAATTTGCAAATTTTTTTGAGAAATTCTGTTGTTTTTAATCAAATAATTTATGAACAGAAACAATCAAATAATCCTTTACTTATTTTATAAACGTATTTATCTATCATATTATATATATATATATATTTGTATACACATATATTTGTCTACACATATGTTTGTCCACACATACAAAAATTAGAAAACATAAAACTGACAAGTTTTATTCTACATTACATTACACTTACAAATTTTGTTTACTTTTTTCAAAAATGTTAACCAATGTCTGAAGAAAAGAGAACTACTCGTAGTCAAGCTCAAAATAATCCTTTATTAGCAAATGAAATACTAACTAATAATCAAACTGCATTTGAAACTTATAATAAAAAAACTGACTCTCCACATCCTTATTCTAGACAAAATAATAGTGTTATAATTAGTGGCAATACAGCAAACGACGAAACAATAACTAATTTTGAAGAATCTATTGACACAAATTCACTAAATTTAACTGACTTTTCTTCTACCATAATCGAAACAACCTTAAAACCAGAAAACTTAGAAATAAATACTGAATCAGAATCTGAATCCGAAACAGAACCTTTAGAAAATAATACAAGAACCCCATATAAGAACTTTGACAAATCAATTTCAGATAAAGACGATATTTTAGAACTATTAATTAAAGACAAACAGAACAAATTTATAAATTTTACCGATAACTATAAAAGAAAAATAATGCCAGAAACACAAGAAACGATTTTTAATAATCAAGTCGTCTCACTTCGCGATGCCTTAGAAATAGTACCAATTTTTTCGGGCGATAACATACCTTTAGAACAATTTATTTCATCATGTAAAGAAGCCAAAAGCCTATTACCCCAAAATGCAGAAGCAAACTTAACAAAACTTATTAAAACAAAAATTAGGGGAGAAGCTCGACAATCTTTATTAAATGATTCTTACGATAACATCAATGAATTAATAGATAGCCTAAAAAATGTGTATTCTCCAAATAAATCTATATACCAACTACAGGGTGAATTAGGAAGTATTTATCAATGGGAAAACGAAAAAGTTATTTCTTACGCAACTAGAATACGGGAAATAGGAAATAGAATTTTAGATTCACATAGGCGTAGTAATCAAGGAAGAGAAGATGAAAATTTCGTAACTGGATTTAAAAAAGATGTTTTAGATTGTTTTATTAGAGGATTAAAAACAGACATTGAAACCAGATTAGAAGACGTAAATACATTTAAAGATGCCATAAATAATGCTGTTGAAGTTGAAAGAAAATTAGCAGCAAATTTAGCTTTAAGATCTTCCCATAGGAACAGAGAAGAAAAATTAGAAACTAAAAAAGATAAAATCCACATCATGAGGGAAGAATTAATCTGTCAAATATGTAACAAAATAGGTCATTCAGCCATAGTTTGTCGTCAATTAAAACAAAATTTTAATTACCAAAGTACAAACAGAACAAACAATTGGAATCAAACGTACAACAACCCTTTTCAATATCCGCGAAATCAGAATCGACATTATCAAAATCAATGGAACCCACATCAACAATATCAAGAACAATGGAAACCTAAACCTAACAATAGACAATATGAACAAACAAATTACAGATCTTCTCAATATCCACCTAATCAAAGGAATACTCCATATAATACTTATCAAGCTCAAAAAGAGTGTTCCTATTGTAAAAAACCTGGTCATCTTATCAATGAATGTCGTAAAAAAATATATAATAACCAACAAACACAAAATCAACAATACAGACCACAACAAGAACAATATCAACCACAACAACAAAGATTTCAACCACAAAATCAGGGAAACTCCAGACCCCTCCCCAACACAGATGCTGCACGGGAGGCTCGCTAAATGAAGATAATGCACCTACTACACAGAAAAGAAATATAAAAGAAATAAAAATAAATATTAGTACAGACAACCCCATTCCTTCAATAACTACAACAGTTAATGGTTTAAAATATCCAACAAATATAATGATAGATACAGGAGCAGGTAGAAATTTATTAAAATTAAATACTATCGACCATGGAATTCAAATTGAACAAGACGAAATATTAAGATTAACAGGAATAAATAATCATCCTGTATACACACTAGGAAATATTAAATTAAATATATTTGGTTTTCCAACAATTTTCCATTTAATTCCAAATAACGTTCCAATTACAGAAGACGGAATTTTAGGTTCAGAATTTTTTTAAAAAAATAATGTTAATATAAATTACGCATTAAAATGTTTAGAAATTAAAGGTAAAAAATATTTTTTTAAAAATCCAAAAGAACCTATAAATACAATACATAACAATAGTAACCAAATTAATAATATTTCTTCTAATAAAAGAATTGAAGACATTAAAAAACTATTAAGACTTGACCATTTAAATAAAGAAGAATTATCACATGTAGAAAAACTTATTGCAACAAATTCTGACAGATTCCAACTACCAGACGAACCATTAGAAGCTACACCTCTTTTAGTGCATTCAATTCCAACTATCGACGATCGACCAATTATAACAAAACAATACAGATATCCACCAGTCCACAAAGAAGAAATAACTAGACAAGTGAACGAACTTTTAAAAAACAAAATTATTAAACCTTCCCAGTCACCATACAATACTCCAATTTTTCTTGTACCCAAAAAACTCGATTCTCACGGAGAAAGAAAATGGAGAATGGTATTAGACTTCAGAAAATTAAACGAAAAAACAATTTCCGACAACTTTCCGTTACCAAATATTTTGGAAATTCTTGACCAAATATCTAATGCCCGTTATTTCTCAGTATTTGATTTAGCAACAGGTTTTCACCATATTCCAATGGGCGAAAAAGATTCCCATAAAACTGCCTTTTCAACCCCATATGGACATTATGAATTTGACAGAATGCCATTTGGTTTAAAAAATGGCCCCAGTACTTTTCAAAGACTGATGAACATTACCTTAGGTTCATTAATCGAAAATGACCTCTTTGTGTATTTAGACGACATAGTATTATATGCAGAAACTCTAGAAGAACACGAAATAAAATTCAATAAATTAATTGACCGACTTAGATACGCAAACCTACACCTGCAACCAGACAAATGCGAATTTCTTAAAACAGAAGTTGCATATTTAGGGCATATAATTGATAAAGAAGGAGTTAGACCAGATCCAAAAAAATAGAAGCCGTACAAAAATTTCCAACACCAAAAAATGAAAAGAATATAAAACAATTTTTAGGTCTAGCCGGATATTATAGAAGATTTATAAACGGATTTTCAAAAATTTCAACACCGTTAACACAACTACTTAAAAAAGATACCCCGTTTCTATGGACTGAAAAACAACAAAATGCTTTTGACAATTTAAAAGAAAAACTATGTGAAGAACCCCTTTTGCAAAGACCAGATTTTACAAAACCGTTTGTCCTTACAACATGAAGCATTATTAACTCTCACACCGGGGATATATACTATTATACGTGTTTGTGTTTACCTTCTTATCTATCTTAGCCCTGATTTGATTCGGTTCTGAGAAATTAATAAGTTCAAAAATGTGGTTGAATGACCATAAACATAAATGTTTACATATCAATCACCCACGTTACGTAACTTTATACAAAAGAAAGAATGGCTATTGTCTAAATTTAAAGGGACATTATATTTTATAATTTAATTATTTGATACAATAGACACGTGCCAGCTATATCAACAGATATGATTGTAATGATATAATAGAGTAATTTAAATTAGACTAATCCTTAAATTTATTGTTTCTACAAATATGTTAAAAGGAAAATATTTATTTTATTTTTAGAAAACTTGTTGCTTGTTTACCAAATTAGAGGAATCTTTCCAGTAATTATTCGGTAGATCAGCTGTTTATTTTCTTATTCACTTTTACTTTTATAAATGAATTAATGTCATTTATCGTTTCAAAGCTGAATATTTTTACTTTACAAAAAAAATAAATATTAATTATTAATAGAAAAATAAAATATGCAATCAATCATCTAATATAATTATTTATCAATTATTTTGGTTTAAATAATTTATTGTGAGTTCGTTCTGAATGAAATTAAATGAAATAATTTCATTGTTTATCTTAAACTTTTACCTTTTTATTTAATTTCTCTCCAACTATTTTGTTATTCTTCAATTGAGATTCTAAATTACCTCGTAGGCTTATCTATAAAAAAAAATATAAAATAAAATTTAAATAAAATAAAAGAAACTTGACAATTCCTAATCGCTATCAAGGTCAAATTCCCTATTCCCTAAATTCAATAATCTATCATAAGTAAATTAATTTTGCAGATATTTTCCTTAAACGCAAATTTATTCAACATGTTATTAATTTAACAACATATTAAAATGATCTAAGTCAAACGGAAAATAAATGAAAAACTTTTTTACTTCTCTGGAAAATTGCTAAATAAATAATTTAAATAAATTATTTACACTACCGTCCGAAATTGTGCGAACTCTGCTTTTTCAACAACTATAAAACTGTTCAAATCTTCAAAAATATTAAAACTAAAATTTTTTCCTCTTTATTTTATTAAAGCTAATAAAATTCTGAAAGAAATGACACCTTGACAAAGAGAATATGTTAATTTTTCAATTAGATATCTAAGAAAAACCCAATTTTCAATGTTTTTACTATTTTTTTTATTTCTCTGGCAAAAATTAATATTTTTAAACGTTCTTGGGCTCATTGAAATCGTATTTTGTTATGCAATTCAAATTATATAAAAAAATTCATGTACACATTCTTCCCTAGCGTATGCAAACCGTGAAAGTTGGCTCATAAAATGTCAAAAAATTTTGATTAATATTTATATGACAAAAAATGATCAGTAAAATGTATAAATCTTAAATTTACTTACATAAATCAGAGAAGTTTAGAATGATATATTTACTTGATTTTTAAACATTATATTTTATTGTAGAATTAAATTTAAATTTTTTGTCATTTTATGAGCCAACTTTCACAGTTTGCATACGCTAGGGAAGAATGTGTACATGAATTGTTTTATATAATTTGAATTGCATAACAAAATACTATTTCAATGAGCCTTAGAACGTTTAAAAATATTAATTTTTGCCAGAGAAATAAAAAAAATAGTAAAAACATTGAAAATTGGGTTTTTCATAGATATCTAATTAAAAAATTAACATATTCTCTTTGTCAAGGTGTCATTTCTTTCAGAATTTTATTAGCTTTAATAAAATAAAGAGGAAAAAATTTTAGTTTTAATATTTTTGAAGATTTGAACAGTTTTATAGTTGTTGAAAAAGCAGAGTTCGCACAATTTCGGACGGTAGTGTATTTCCTAAATTAAATATTGATTGGAGGACAGGGATTCATAATCAATTGAATCTTACACATTAACAAATTGATCGCCTATTGCAATGAATTTGAGATATATGTATCTTCAAGAGACTTACGATTTGCTTTTGATACCACTTAAGGATCCAGATAGTGAGGTGGTACTCCGAGTTACCAGAAACCCCTCAAGTCTTTCTCCATGGCGTGACTTTGTAGAATTATGTATTTTCAATTAAAGTGATTATTCACTTTTTCGTTTCTTCTACTTTCCTAATATTGAATTTAAATTTATTGTTTGTTAAAATGTTTTATTTCTTATATAATTCTGAGTTGGAACGGTTGTTACACCAGCCTCTCAGATATTATATAAGATTAAAGAAAAAAAATAAATAATAAAAAAATATAAATAATAAAATTTTAATATTTTAAATAATAAAAGAATTCTAAATGCTTGTTCTTTTGTTCTTTTTGAACTTACTGTTTTATAGATAATTCCAATCACAATTAAACTTCACAAACTTATCTGTCAAAAAATTATAATATAGAGCTATATGTAGACTGTCTGATATTCAGAGAATGAATGTCCAAATTTGGGTCTCCTTCTCTATTTATTAACTCGAGAAGGCGCTTCATCCCCCAAATTTCTCTATATCCCTTGTATATTTAAATTTAGTAAGTGTGTTAGAGAGACTCTGACAGCTGATTGCTTGACAATCCGCAGTTTTCCCTTCCTACCTTTCTTCGTATACTTTTGCTGTATATTTCTTACCGCCAAATTTTCCCTCTAATCGCATTTTTCGCGGCGTCCTTTTTTCTTAGCCAATAATATTTAAATTATTTTGGTAAGGAGAGAGCGATTTCTCTCTTTCTAATTCCGTTGTAACGTATACAGAGAACAATGCCATTGTTCAGCTGTCAATCATTTCTCAATTATTACTGTAATTTCTTTAAATCTTTAATATCCTAAAAAATAATAATTTGACAAAAATTTTACCTTTACCATTAATTTTTAAATAATTTTTACTTTTATTTAACATATAATTTTTATTTTAATATTATTATTTTAAGCAATTAAATAATTTATATTATTTTATGTAAAAAAATGAAAAATATGGTTAATTAATTTAACTGTTTCATATTTATTTTATTAATATTGTTAATAAAAAATCTTTAAATTTGAATTAAATTAATAATTTCTTTATATTCGAAATTATATCTTTCGTCTCTTACTATTGTTTTTCCTTATGTATTCTTATACAGTGTTATCTATGAATGTCTTCTGTCTCTTTCTATTATTTCCGAAATTCCATTTCTCTAGATTTAAATTAATTTCTTAATATTTCTTTTCTTTGATTTTTATTAATAATTTATAACTTTTTTCTTTTAAAATAATTAATTAATTTTTTATAATAATTTTGCAAAATAAAATAATTTCTATTATTTTATTTATTGATATTTAAGATAATGTAAAAGGGTATTTTATTTATATATTGTTAATTATTTAATATAATATTTAAACATTGAATTTAT